CAGCCTATGCAACTTAGCAAGACCTAACTAATCTCAAAAAAAAAGGAAGAAAGTTGCCAAGAATAGAAACAATGACAGAAAAGTCATAAAACTTGAAAAAAGCAGTCACCAAGAATGATGAGGCACCAAGAATTATCAGCGATCGGGGATCACAGCTACACTCACCCAGGCAGCCACAGCCCACCCCGGTTTCCCCACCCCGCCTCCCCCCCAGCAGCGGCCTGGCCATCTCTGGAAGCCACACATCTGCATGCAGATCACATTCCTGCCCAGGACACTGGCTGCTTGTATGGTTCACATCACAAAGAGCCCCACAGACACTTGTCATCAAGCTCCTCCTGTCACCCAGTGAGGTGCTGTTCCTCGTCACCATCAGGAGCCTGGACGCCCCTGTGCAAGCTCCCTATGTGGCTTCCAGCCATGGGTTTCAAGCAAAGCTCCACGGTATCCAGCAGTAACAGGGGTCGAGTCTGCTGCTTTCCTTTTTCCTTGTGTGTATGGGGGGGGGGGCTGGCTGGGCAGGCACTCACCACTGAGCCACACCCCCGTCCTGCAAGTTAACAGTTACACAAACCGTGACACACAAGCTGTGTAGCCATCTCCCGCCCACTCGGGAAGCTGAGGCCACTTATAAGGCTCCGATGCTTGCTATGAATTTGACCAGATTCTTCTTAAAGCTGTTGCCACAGGGACACGGCGCTGACAAAGGCCAAAGGCAGGGATGATGTGCTGTCCTGCCAACAGTGGAGGGCTGTCCTTCACGTTGCCCAGGAAAACCCACAACACACCCAACAGGTAAGTGCACGCTGGTCTACACAGCCAACCCTCCAATGAGCCTGCGAGGGAACCTCACGCATCCGGCCAAGCCTACCCAGCACGGGATCTACGCATGTCCACTTCCCTAAGGGTGAATGGGCCTGGGGCCAAGAGACTCAGGGGTAGAGCCCCTGCCTAGAATCCCCCAGTGAGGGGCTGGGGACGTGGCTCAGTGGTAGAGCCCCTGCCTAGAATCCCCCAGTGAGGGGCTGGGATGTGGCTCAGTGGTAGAGCCCCTGCCTAGAATCCCCCAGTGAGGGGCTGGGGTGTGACTCAGTGGTAGAGCCCCTGCCTAGAATCCCCCAGTGAGGGGCTGGGGTGTGGCTCAGTGGTAGAGCCCCTGCCTAGAATCCCCCAGTGAGGGGCTGGGGATGTGGCTCAAAGTTAGGGCATCTGTTTGGCATAAACCCTGCCCTGGCTTCCATTCTCAACACCTCCTAGGGGGGAACAATTATGTAGGACATTGAAAGCTATGGTCAAGAGCCTGGCCTTCTCCCAGACAGTCAGGAGCCATAGAGGAGGAACGGGGCCAGTATTGCACTTCAGAAAGACTTCTCTAGTCTGCTGGATGGGTTGCCAGGATCAAGACTGAAGGCAAAGGGAACGGAGAGGCTGGGCAGTGACACTCGTTGACAGAACATCTACAGGAATATAATCTAAAAGAACTGAGCCAGCTAAGCAAGTGTCATTTCCCCAAAACTAGCAAGAGTTAGACAAAGCATAAACCAACACCCATCTGTGGCGGCAGACATGGAAAAGGCTGGCGAAGACATTCAAGAGAGCCACTGAGGGCAGCAGAGGCCACAAGGGCCTTTTTGGCTAAGGCATGGGGTTTGCTGGGGTTTTTTTGTCGTTGTTGTTTTGTTTTTTCCCAGAGGAAAGTCGTATGTCTGGAGCTACAGTCTTCCATCTTTGTTTTGTTTTCCGAGACAGGGTTTCTCTGTGTTAGACCCCTGGCTGTCCTGAAACTCACTCTGTAGACCAGGCTGGCCTCGAACTCACAGAGATCCTCCTGCCTCTGCCTCCCGAGTGCTGGGATTAAAGGCATGCACCACCACCGCCCGGCCCTCAGTCTTCCATCTTTAACACCAGTTTTGCACGGGAGCTGCACCAGACACAACAGGCTAACCCGACAGTGCTCCCCAACAACTAGGCTGAAGCAATGACTGTTCGCTGAGCGTCAGCTGCAAACCAGGAGGCACAGGGCAGGGAGACGGAGCACGAGCCAGCCCGAGTCACATAACAGATGACTCAAGAAGAGACGGGGTACGGTGCAGCTAGGACTGTGGAGGTCTTGCCTAGCGTGCACAAAGCCCAGAGTTCCACCTCCAGCGCCCCCAGACAGCTGTTCACAGTGGAGAGAAAGAGCAGACAGTGACGCAGAGCCAACAGGGCTCTTGCCTTGACATATATATACAGGCGCAAGCCCCAGGCCCCTCCCTCCCGGCCCGCCCACCCCGCGGGGAAGCCTGGACACTCACAATCTTCTCATAGTACTCTCGACGTCGCTCCGCCCTCTTCTTGTAATCCACCATCATGCCTCGGAGTTTCCGCTCATGCTTCCGAGCCTCGTGCCACATCGTGGCCTCCACCTGAGGTGTGGGGGGACCGGGTGTGTCAGGTGGACAGCAAAACCCTCAAGTCCACTAGCAAGTCGGCGTCAACCCTGGAGGGTTTGTGCAGTCCGACTGCGGTAGCCCAGGCGACATAGACCTCAGGTGAGCCGGGGGAGACCCTCTCTTGGGAAAGGGATTATCCTAGATAAGATGCTAAAGTCCAGACGACAGAATATGGGACAGGTAGCCCTTGGATGGTCATCAATGCAGAACTGTCTTGCCCGGCTATATGTACCTGTCCAGCATAGCAACATGGGGAGATCCTGCTTTAAGTAAAAACAAAAGATAGAAAGAAAAAAAACTGGCCAGGGTTGGTGGTGCACGCTTTTAATCTCAGCACTGGGATAGCGGGGGCAGGCGGGTGTTTGAGTCTGGGGCCAGCCTGGTCTATGTGATGAGTTCCAGACTAGCCAAGGCTACACAGTGAGGCCCCGGCAGGGGAGGGAGAGAAAAATTGTAAATTTTGGAAGGAAAGTAGCGTCTGAAGCTGTACTGCCAGGGCCGGGGGTCACAGGAAGAACCCCAAAGGCCCTGTGCAGGAGCCAAGCATGGGGGAAGGGTTGCAGCGGTGGAGACGAAGGCTGCTGGGGGCGGGGGCGAGCGTCTCGGCAGCACAGGCGCCGGGGAGGGGGTGAGGCCAGGTGAAGGGCGTGGACGGGGGATGGAGGCGATCGAGCGGCTGAGGTCTAAAGAGGGGACGCGGAGCGGGCCGGGCGTGCAGGCCAAACAGAGACGAGCGGAGGCCCGGGCGGGCGGGCGAGCGGCGGGGGCGGAGCTCCGCCTAGGAAAGAGGGGTCCAGGCCGAGCCCCACGGCGCGGACTCCGGCCCGGGGAGGGGCGAGGGGAGCAGCCTGAGGCCTGGCAGCGCGGAAGCAGGTGAGGCCGCCCTCGGGGCCCGGGGGCCACCCGCGGCCATCCCGGGGCCGCCCCGGGCAAGGGTGAAGGCCCGGCCACCCCTGCTCGGGAGCCGGGAGGTCGGGGTCGGGCACCTGCACTCACCGGCTGCTCGCCGCCTCCCACTGCTGCGCTCGCGCGCGCTCACGACCCGCACCGGAAGCGGAAGCCAGAGGTTGAGCGGAGGAGAGAGAGGCGGCGCCGCACAAAAGGCACTTCCGCAGTCGCGAGGGCGGGGGCCTGGGCGGGGCCGTGTGCTCGTGGGCGGGGCCTGGCCTATTAGTTGGGTTTGTGGGCGGGGCCTGTGGGGGGCAGGATCTGGGGCGGGCCCTAGGTGCGGACACACAGCATTGCAGACACATGGCTTGTTGTTGTTGTTTTAAAGATTTATTTACTTTAGGGGCTGGAGAGGTGGCTAAGCGGCTGAAACACTGGCTGCTCTTCCAGAATTCCCGAGTTTACTTTTCAGCACCCAAAAGGCGTCTGTAACTGGGGTCCCGTGGGATCCGATGCCCTCTTCTGGTGTGCATACATGCACAGAAAACACCCATGCGCATAAAACACATAAGTCTTTGAAACAGATTATCCAGGCGCACACCTCTAGTCCCAGCACTCGGGAGGCAGAGGCAGATGGATCTCTGAATTTGAGGCCAGCCTGGTCTACAGAGTGAGTTCCAGGATAGCCAGGATCGCTACACAGAGAAACCCTATCTTTAAAAACAAACAAACAACAACAAAAAGATTTTATGGATGTGCCCAAGCGTATGCAGATCTAGATAACCCTGGAAGCCAGAAGAGGATTCTGGATGTATTGTGTATTAGTCAGGGTTCTGTAGAGCATCAGAACTCATAGAAGAACTCTCCACACACAAAAAGAAAAGGGGTTTATTAGAATGACCCAGGCTCTGGTCCAGCTAATCCAACAATGACTGACTGTGGGTAGAAAGGCTAAACTTCCAGTACTTGCTCAACCCACAAGGCTGAATCTCTGAGCTGGTCTTCAGTATCCACAGGACGTGCTACCAAGGACAGAGCACGCAGGCAAAGAGCAAAACGTCCTTGTCCCGTCCTTATGCAGGCTTCTAGCAGAAGGCGTAGACCAGGTTAGAGCTGGATTACTTCAAGTTAAGCGAAAACCCCTCATATGCATGCTCTCCATTTTGGGGTTTCATTTCCAGACGCAGCCAAGCTGATAACCAAGACTAGCCAGTGCACACTCTGAGCTGCCTTGTGGGTGCTGGGATTGATCCTGGGTCTCTGCAAGAGCAGCAAAACCGTCGTGTGTGTGGCTCACCGTGATCGTGTAGTGGTTAGTACTCTGCGTTGTGGCCGCAGCAACCTCGGTTCGAATCCAAGTTACGGCAGTTGTTGTCCTTCCCGTCTGACACGATGCTTTCTAGACCGTGCGTTGGTGGCGCACGCCTTTAATCCCAGCACTCGGGAGGCAGAGGCAGGCGGATCTCTGTGAGTTCGAGGCCAGCCTGGTCTACAGAGTGAGTTCCAGGACAGCCTCCAAAGCCACAGAGAAACCCTGTCTCGAAAAACCAACAAAAAACCAAACAAACAAAAAAAAAGAGCAGCAAAAGCTCTTGACCACTGAACCCTCTCACCAGCCCCTCAGCCACAAGCGTCCCATTCCAAACCGACCCAGGCAGAGAGAGACAACCCCAAGAGTCAAAAAACTAATTTTTATTGGGAAAACTGCACAAACAACATACCCCCGCCTTCAGGACCAGGGCGGAGGGCCGGGGATCGATTCCTTCCTCCCCTATGTACAACCTCTCAGAATCTGTCCTGAGAAGGGGCCCACCCGCAGGAGCCCCTTTTCCTCTTCGTCGGACTCAGCATTCTCATCTGGAAAATGGGCTCAAGGAGAGCTGGAGCTCTTCCCTAGCTTCTTGCCAGCGCTGCAGCTGTCCGGTTCAGGCTGAGGAAGACTGATCAAGGTTGGCCTCGGGGGACAGAGTGCTGCAGCGCGCTCCCACCCTGTACCTTCACTGGCACCTCAGAGGCTACGTGGCTTCAGGCCCTGGGGACAGGAGGCCACCCCCAAAAGCTGCCTCTCGGTACTGGTTGGGGAACATGTTGCTGCCCACAAGGCTGGCAGTGCCAACATCCCCAGGGCCGGGGGCTGCATACGAGTCCAGTGTCAGTGGCTCTGGGCCAGGAGACTCCACGACTGTGCCCCCCGCAGCCCCGCCACCCACGACGGCACTGGCAAGTGGGGGGGCTGGGGGCAGCAGGTCCAACATGGTGAAGAGCGTGGGGGCGGAAGGGTCGTAGGCAAAGCCATCGTCCAGGAGGTCGGGGCCGCCGGGGGGCTCCAAGCCAGGGAGAGAGATGGTACTGGGGAAGAAGTCGGTGTCTGCCGGCTGCAGAGCGGACGGCGGGAGGAACAGGCCTGGCGGAGACACAAGAACCCCTGCTTTTAGCGCCCGTCTCTGAGCAGGCCGTGACCAACCCGGACCTCATCACACTAGATGTATTCTTTTGTTTCCTTTTGGTTTTCAAGACAGGGTTTCTCTGTGTAGCCCTGGCTGTCTCGGAACTCGCTCTGTAGACCAGGCTGGCCTCGAACTCACAGATATCCTCCTGCCTCTGCCTCCCGAGTGCTGGAATCAAAGGTGAGCGCCACCACCACCCAGCAAATGTGTTTCTACCTTAGGCCTTTTCCCCTAACCTGAGCAGGAAAGAAGTGGAACCACTCCATTTTATTTTGTACGTGAGGGAGGAGGGATAATATGAACAAAGGAGTCAAGACCATGATCGGGAAACCCACAGAATCAGCTGACCCGAGCTAGAGAGAGATCACTGACTCAGGTCTGACAAATGGGGAACCTGCATAAGACTGAGCTAGACTCCCTTAATATAGGTGACAGTGGTGTGGCTGGGACAATATATGAGGCCACTGGCAGTGGGTCCAAGATCTAACTCTAATGCACAAACTGACTTAGTGGAGTCCATGCTATATGGAGAGATACCTTGCCCAGACTAGACACAGGGGTTTGGGGGGTGGAGAGATGCCTTAGTCCTGCCTCAAGGAGATGAGGGACAGACTTAGACTTCCTAGGGGAGACCTCACCCTCTCCAAGGAGCAGATGGGAGGTGGGGTGGGGAGGGAGTGGGGGTACCGGGAGGAGAGGTGGGAGGGGGAACTGGGATTAGAACATGAAAAAAATTAATAAAAAAGTTATCCCCCAAAAAAGAACACTTGCTGCTCTTGCAAAGAAACAGAGTTGGGGTCCTGCTCCCCACTTGGAGCAGCCCCAATCCACCTGTAACCCCAGCTCCTGAGGACCTGACAGCCTCTCTTGGCCTCCATGGGGAACTGCATGCCTGACACACACTCACACCAACCCGCACACACATACATGTAATTGAGTAAAACTAAAGCAGGGTCTAGGCCATCCAGACCCTCGTCGGTCCAAGGTGCTTACTGCCGTCCCTGGTGACTAATGGAGGCTCAGTCCCCGGAACCCACGTGGTGAAAGAAGAGAACCAGTTATTCTCTGGTCTCCACACAGCCTGTGGGTAGCATGTGGGCGCCCACACATCCAAAATAAATAAGTAGATGTTGAAGGCCTCCTTAAAAATAAGACATGGTCGCTGGGCGTTGGTGGCGCACGCCTTTAATCCCAGCACTCGGGAGGCAGAGGCAGGCGAATCTCTGTAAGTTCGAGGCCAGCCTGGACTACCAAGCAAGTTCCAGGACAGCCTCCAAAGCCACAGAGAAACCCTGCCTCGAAAAACCAAAATAAATAAAATAAAACAAAAATCTCAACCCAGAGCACGCTGTGTTCCGGTACTGGCTCCCATCCCAAGTACTAACAGGCCTGACCCTGCTTAACCTCCCTGACAAGATCAGACTCATTCACATAGCATAGTCAGAGAGCATATCACTTCTTGTTTGGAGATGGGGTCTCTGTTAAGCACACACGAGCCTCAAACATGGCTAAGACGGCCCTGGACTTCTGATCCTCCTGCGTCCGGTTCCCAGGGGCTGAGCACCCAGTCCTGTGCCCCCATCCAGATCGTGCGGTGTTGGGGATAAACACCAGGGCTGTGGCCATGCCAGACAACCAGCCGGCCGTCAAGTCAGCCGCAGCCCAGCCCAGAGTAAAAGACAAGGTACAGGCCCAGATCTGTGAAGACGTGCCCCGGTCAGGTGAAAATACTTGCTACAAACGCCTGACGACCTGAGTTCAATCCCTGGGACCCTTTGTGAAAGAACTGACTACAAAGCTGGGATTTTGTGTTTGTCTTAAGGTTTTTTTTCTTGTTTTTTGTTTGTTGGTTGGTTGGTTTTGAGACAGGGTCTCACTATGTAGTCCTGGCTAGCCTGGAACTTGCTGTGTAGACCAGGCTGACATTGAACTCACAAAGATGTACCCGCCCCCGACCTCCCAGGTGCTGGGACTAAAGGTGTGTAATACCATACCCAGCCTGCCTCCACACGGGCTGTCACACACATGCACCCATATGATACACAAATTATCACAGAAATTAATTAAAATTAATTTATAATGATTCAAAAAACTTTTTCTAAAGAGGAGGAGCAACTTGGAAAAAGTCCCACAGCAAATGAACTCCCCACAGAGATCACAGCCTCCATTTGGTCTCCAAAGCCTTCTAATCACTGTTCCGCGAGACGTAACGCTTGACACAGGGTCTCTCTGCCTTGGAACTTTGTGCAGACTACGCTGGCCTCTGACTATCGGTAACCCCCCCCCACTCAGTCTCCCGAGTGCTGGGGCCATCGATGTGAGCCACTGCCAGGTCCCTAGACCCCATGTGTGGTCAGCTCCTGACCTTCTGAGGAGAAAAAAGAAGAAAAGGCTGGAGGGTGGCTCAGCCGTTAGGAGCTCTGGCTTCTCTGCGGAGAACCCAGGCTGTGTTCCCAGCGTCCACCTGACAGCTCACAACCATCAGCAACCGCGGTTCCAGACACGGGACGCCCTCTTCTGGCCTCTGTGAGCACCAGGCACGCACAGGGTGCACACACGTATGCATAAGCAAAATACCCATACGTGTGAGATACAACATTCCTCGTGAATTATGACAAAGAGGAAGAAACCAGGAGGACAGGGCAGGGTTCCCTGCTGTCCACGCAGGGAGGCGGAGGCCACAGAGGCCGCACTCACCTGTGCTGTGGCCGGGCAGGAAATGGTCCAAGAACACTGGCTTCTTTTTCCGTCGTTTGCTTTCAATGCCATGTGGGTCTAGGGAGGAGACAGGGGCTCCTTACCCTGCCAACCCACCCGCCCCAAGCAGGTCACCCGCCCCCTCCCAAGGATCTGGGGACAGGTGTGGACAGGGCGGAGGGACACACCCGAGCTACTCAGCTCCCCAAGGACGTCGGGAAGTCCCCGCTTCCTCTTCTTGTCCACTCCGTAGCTGTCTGTGCAGGAGAGAGCAAAGGCATCCCAGTGTCACACAGCAGTCAATGGCAGAGGTCACGTCACAGGGGTCACCGTGACAACAGTCTGTCACAGAGGTCATTATAACAGTGTCACAGGGGTCACTATGACAGTCAGCCACAGGGGTCACTATGAAGTCTGTCACAGAGGTCACTATAAAGTCTGTCACAGGGGTCACCGTGACAACAGTCTGTCACAGAGGTCATTATAACAATGTCACAGAGGTCACCGTGACAGCCATAGAGGTCATTATAACAGTCTGTCACAGGGGTCATTATGAAGTCAGTCACAGGTCACAGTGACAGTCACAGGGGTCATTAAGAAGGAGAAGGGCATGATCTTCGCCAGCTTAAGCAAGTAGATTCCTACCTCCCTCATCAGGATAGAGCTCAATAGAGTCCTCTAGATCCTGCTCAGGACCTTTGCCCCGGCTAAGCCGGCGGCTCTCACCCTCACTCTGTGTGTAGAGCTTTACATGTGTGTGTGGAGACCAAATGTCAACGTTGCCATCCCCGTTTGTCACCTAGAGACAGAGTTTCTTAGTGGCCTGCGGTTTTTTGCTGGATAATGTCTCGGGAATCCAGCCTGACCCCATCTAGGAACAAGCAGCCCTGCCTGGCTTTCCTCCAGGGTGCTGGGACTTGAACTCAGGTCCTCGCACCTGCAGGGCGGGCACTTCACTGACTGAGCTACTGCGCCCAGGCCCGCTTTCTGCAAATACACTTCCTGAGGCAGGGTCACAGGGCTGGTCTGCGGGGTTGGGGTGGTATCTGTGGCTGATGCTCACCGTGGTCCCGGGGCAGGTAGGTGAAGGGCAGCGGCTCGCTGCACACGCCGTCCGTGAGCCTCTGCAGGAAGACATTGACGGTCACAGGCTCTGAGATCTCCAGGTCCTCATACGGTGGTGTCTTGAACACAATGGCAATTTGCCGGTGCACATCGGCCTGAGAGAAGTCGGCTCTGCCTTCCCAGGAAGCCGTGCTGAACACCACGGATATGTCCTCTGGTGGGGGGAGGGTAGGTCAGGGTGAGGACGAAGCTAAACTAAGGGAATGGAATGGGCCACTGAGCCCTTACAAATTCACTCTCCACCCAATCAAACCAGTGTTTCCAATAATAAGACTAGGCCGGGCGGTGGTGGCGCACGCCTTTAATCCCAGCACTCGGGAGGCAGAGGCAGGCGGATCTCTGTGAGTTTGAGACCAGCCTGGTCTACAGAGCGAGTTCCAGGACAGCCTCTAAAACAATATCCAGGGAGGCTGTGCATCCTGGAACGCCAGCCAGCAGAAGGCTGACGCAGAACCTTGGTAGTTTGAAAGTAGCCTGCTCTCCACAGTGAGTTTGAGGTCACCCAGGAAACACAGTAAGTCCCTGTCCAAAACAAACAAACAAACAACAAACCCAACTACCTAGGGTCTCTACACAAAGGAAACTAACACAGGTATGGTGGCAAGCACCTGTAATCTCAGCACCTGGGAGACTGAGGCAGGAGGATTATGAATTCAAGGTATGCCTCGATGACTATGTAAGTCCATCTTAGAATTCTGGGTAAAAGAACTAGGGCTATCGTTCAATGGTACAGAGCTTGTATAAAATTCACCAGGGAGGTCTGGGGGTGTGGTTCAGTGGCAGATCCCCTATCTACTATACACCACATCCTATGATTCCAAATATTCCTAGTAAAAACAAATACCATAGGGGCTGGAGAGACGGCTCAGCGGGTAAGAGCACTGCTGCTCTGCCAGAGGACTAGGGTTCGGTTCCCAGCACCCACATGGCAGCTCATGACCATCTGTAACTCCAGTCGCAGGGGATCCAACACCCTCAAGCACGCACTCACCTGGCACACAAACATACATGCAAACAAAATACAACACACTGAAAGAAATCGCAACAACAGTAACGGGAAACAAAAGCTGGAAAACTCCCAGGAACCCTTGCTTTATGATCGTCAGCATCACAGATGGAGAGAAAGCAATTAACGAGAGAAAAACCTCCTCCCTGCCATTCACTTGCTGTCAAACGTCACTTCCTCAAACAGGCTTGAAAACAAAAACTGAAACGCAGCTACAAATAGGAGAAACCACCCTCTTCTCGGGACCATTCCACAGCGGACAGGGCAAGACTCTCTTCCCTTTGCCCTGCCGCCGTTCCGGGATCATTGAGCTTTCCACCTTTTGTTGTTGGTTTGTGTGAGTTTTTGAGGCAGAGTCTCACTGCGTCCATCAGGCTGACTGGAAACCTTCTTGCTTCAACCTTCCAGAGTTCTGGGATTACAGATGTTGCCATCAGACTGGTTTAATTATATATTCTACTATTGGGAATGTGACTCAAGACCTCATCCATGCTAAAAAAGCACTAACCCTGTTACTGAGCCCCTCACTGGGGGATTCTAGGCAGGGTCTCTACCACTGAGCCACACCCCCAGCCCCTCACTGGGGATTCTAGGCAGGGGCTCTACCACTGAGCCACACCCCCAGCCCCTCACTGGGGATTCTAGGTAGGTGCTCTCCTGCAGAGCCACGCCCTTAGCCCTCCTTTTTTTTTTTTTTTTTTTTTTTGGTTTTTTGAGACAGGGTTTCTCTGTATTGTTTTGGAGGCTGTTCTGGAACTCGCTCCGTAGACCAGGCTGGCCTCGAACTCACAGATATCCGCCTGCCTCTGCCTCCCGAGTGCTGGGATTAAAGGCGTGCGCCACCAACACCCGGCAGCCCCTCTTTTTTTAATGTCTTTTTAAAAGTAATTTATTTATTTTTATTTTATGTGCATTGGTGTTTTGCCTGTGTGTATGTCTGTGTGAGGGTGTCAGGTCCCCTGGAACTGGAGTTACAGACAGTTGTGAGCTGTCACGCGGGTGCTTGGGAACTGAACCAGGGTCCTCTGGAAGAGCAGCCAGTGCTCTTAACCGCTGAGCCATCCCTCCAGCCCCTCCCTTAGCCCCTCTTAAGGCATCTGTGCAACTGCGTTTCTGCTGTGGCAGCATCCGAAAGAGCACTGCATGGCCCTGGTCAGCTCGCGGCTTCCATACCTCACAGAGAGCAGCAGCACCCAAAGCCTCTGCTTGGCACTGCCCGACCCTGCAGCTAGGGCGCTGCCCCGGTAACCCAGACCCCGCCCCGGTTACCCAGACCCCGCCCCGGTAACCCAGACCCCGCCCCGGTAACCCAGACCCCGCCCCGGTAAACCAGACCCCGCCCCAGTAACCCAGACCCCGCCCCGGTAACCCAGACCCCGCCCCGGTAAACCAGACCCCGCCCCAGTAACCCAGACCCCGCCCCGGTAACCCAGACCCCGCCCCGGTAAACCAGACCCCGCCCCGATAACCCAGACCCCGCCCCAGTAACCCAGACTCCGCCCTCACCTTTCTGCACCTTGTCACACAGCAAGTACAGCTCCTCGCCACCTGTGCAGGGCCCGCTCTCCTTGTTGATTCGGCAAATCCGCAGCTCTGATGTGTTGGTGGACTCTGGGAAGGAAAAAAGTCATCACTCCGTGGTGCTGACAGCTGAGAGAGACGGAAGACACCATCCAGGTGGGACACAGGCTGCTCAGGTAGGAGGGTACAATGTGCAGTGCCAGAACTCCACTCTGAAGTCTGCTTAGTATCTCTCCAAAATGAAGACGCAGACTCAGGGAGACTTAGCATGTGCAGGGTGACACAAGGTCCCCAGATGACATTTTACAACCCCAAATGCTGTTTTTGTTAGCATGTTTTCTCCCAGTAGAAGTGATGGGACCCAAGATCTTGCTAGATAAGAATTCTACCAATGAGCACGCCTCCTCAGCCCCTCACTGGGGGATTCTAGGCAGGGGCTCTACCACTGAGCCACATCTCCAGCTCTCATTTTTTATCACCTTGATTAATCTTGATCAGCTACCCCGGCTGGTCTTGAACTTACCATCCTGGCCTGAGCCTACCAAGTGGCTGGTATTACAAGTACCACCATGTCTGTCTGCCGCCTGAGCGGAAGTCTTGTAGCACACACTTGTCTTGACTGACCAGCAGTCCTTGACCTCTCTTTATTAAGGAGCCCCTCGCCTCAGCCAGGGAGTGAAGCGTGCTGAGCCGTGCCGAGGACCAGCACTCATCCTACGGCCTAGACATGGTCAGTCAGACCACCACCTCCCTAAGGCCACTGCTGAACAGTCAGAGGAGCAGATATGCAAACTCCCGCCAATGAGTGTGTGCAGAGGCTGTGAGCAAAAGCTTTATCACGTCAGGCAGTACATGCTCGCAACCCCACCACTCAGGAGGTAAAGGCGGAAGGGTTGCTGATGGGTGTTAAATTGCCAGTCCTTCACTCCCTGAGACCAAACCCTGGGTTCCATCCCTAGTCTCAATAATGAGTCAGAGCAGGCCAGGCTGGTCATCTCAGCGCTCAGGTGGAGCAGGAGCTCACGGGCTCAAGGTCATCTCCGGCTACGTATGACAATGGAGGCCAGCTATGGGGCGGAGGTGGGGGGCGGGGCGGGGGTTGTTGTCATTTGTGTCCCAAAGAGCGAACCCACCAGGCTTCAGTGAATAGTCCGTAAGCTATGGTCACTCTGGGGTCCCAATTAAGATCAATGGATTACGAAATAAAACACAAAGAATTGAATGTGGGAGGGAGACAGGATGGGGGAAGGGACAGCGAGGAAACGTAATGTGCTGTATATGTGGACAGGATTGCCAAGGCGCAGATTTAATCAACGAAAAGTACAAATAGGAAAGAGGAAAAACTACAGGAAGGGACAAGGTGCAAACTGTGCAAGTCTACAGGATGACACTGCCCATCCGGGGCCTGGAACGCATACGTGATGTCTGGAGTCATGGCACTCACTGTGTGCCCAGGAGGGGAAAGGAGAGAATGAACAGGAGAGGTGCAGACCCAGCTCCTCTGGGACTGTGGGCCCCAAACCACTGTGCGAACGTAGAAAAACCAAACCCGAACCTCAATGCTCATCCACGACACTATTTGGGGCGCCTTCTGATACCTGTGCCATGTTAATCCCAAGGGACACGGCAGCCTTGACTCACTCTTATCATAGACGGGCTCAGAGAGGACGGGTTCCAGGCGGCGCAACTGTCCCTGCTGGTCCCGATAGGACGCCTGGAAGCAGATCCTGACCACATTCATGTCTACCTCCTGATGGTTCTTCAGAGAGCCAGCTGGGGGGACAGAGGGGGCGGTGGGAGTCAGCTGAGCTGCCGGAGGCAGGGAGATGGAGGGGAGGGGCCCAGGCGGGGACCCTGGGGAGGTGGGGGCGGGAAGACAGTGTTCAAGGGCTATCCTCAGTTACATGTAAGTTCAAGGACAGCCTGGGCTGGAGACCATGTCGCAAAAACCAAAATGGAAACTCAAATAAAGGGGCCGGTGAGATGGCCCAGCGGGTAAAAAGCGCTCGGCTGCAAAGCCCGGGCCCAATTTCATTTGCCAGAACCCACGTGGTGGAGGGAGAGAACCAACATCTGTGGGGCATCCTTTGACCTCCACAGACATGTCCATACCATGTATAACACGCACACGCATGCACGCATGCACGCACGCATGCATGCACACACACACACACACATACTAAAAAAAGAAGCCAGGTGGTGGTGGCGCACGCCTGTAATCCCAGCACTCGGGAGGCAGAGGCAGGCGGATCTCTGTAAGTTCAGGGCCAGCCTGGTCTACAGAACGAGTTCCGGGTGAGCCAGGCAAGGGGCTGGGGAGGCAGGCGGACACTGACCGTTGTAGGGGTCGATGCCCAGCTGGATCTTCCGCTCGATGGCAGCCTCGATTTCCTTCTTCCGGACGCACTGGATGCCCAGGTTGTTAAAGCTGAGCGGGGGGCAGGGGGAGGCTGTGAGGGGCGGCCCGCTCTGGACACTGCAGGAGCGGTGTGGAGGGGCGTGGGAAGACCTGGGATCTGAACCTCTCAGAGGTCACCAGGAGTCCTGGAGACCAAGACCCGCCCCGTTTTACCATCTAGAAACACCAGCCAGGCTCCTTTATATCCAAGAAGGTGCAAAGGAAGCCTGGGTTCTCTATACCTGAGAAGCTGAAGCAGGGGGAAACAGAATTTGAGGCTATCCTGTGGTACATAGAAAGACAGGCCTCCAAAGGAATAAAGTTTAAAAAAAAATACCTCAATAAATGACTACGGAGATGTCTTAGCTCTCAGGAGGTGGAGGCAGGAGGGTCAAAAGTTCAAGGTAGAAAAAAAATGGTCAGGTGTGGTGGCGCACACCTTTAAATGTCAGCACTCAGGCAGAGGCGGGGGAGGGTGGTTGGGATCTCTGTGAGTTCGAGGCCAACCTGGTCTACGAAGCAAGTTTCAGGCCAGCCAGGGCTACATAGTAAGACTGTCAAAAAAAAATGGAGGTCACCCTCAGCTACAGAAGTGAATTTGAGGCTAGTCTGGTCTATATGAGACCTTGTCTCAAAATACAAGGAGCCGGGCGATGGTGGTGCACACCTTTAGTCTCAGCACTCGGGAGGCAGAGGCGGGCGGATCTCTGTGAGTTCGAGGCCCGGCTGGTCTACATAGCTACGCAGAAAAACCTTGTCTTGAAAAACACAAAACCTGGGTCGACTAGATGGCTCAGCAGGGAAAGGTCCCTGAGTTCAGAACCCACCCAGTGGGAGGAAAGACCCGATTCCCACAAGCGGCCCTCTGCTGCGGCCAACAGCGCTAAGCCAGGCTGGAGTCCAGTGGCAGCTCCGGCACTGACTGTCATCTGTGACCCCTCCCTCCCTGGCCCTCCGTGTCCTCCTCTACAGAGCAGACAAACAGAAGGGTCTGCTGGTACCCGCCCATGGAGACCAGGCAGGAGGTCTCAGGTTGCAGCTTAGTTTTTACTACATCAAAAGGTAAAACTGGAACAGATAGAATGGGCGTGGCACGTTTTCAGGCCCAAGTGGGGCTGACTGCTGCTCCCACACCCCACCTTCCCCACCCATTGAGCAGTGACGTCCGGCCAGGAGGCCACACCCCCTTCCCCATCCATTGAGCAGTAAGGTCAGGCCAGGAGGCCACACCCCCTTCCCCATCCATTGAGCAGTAAGGTCAGGCCAGGAGGCCACACCCCCCCTTCCCCACCCATTGAGCAGTAAGGTCGGGCCAGGAGGCCACACCCCCTTCCCCACCCATTGAGCAGTGACGTCCGGCCAGGAGGCCACACCCCCTTCCCCACCCATTGAGCAGTGACTTCCGGCCAGGAGGCCTATGCTCTAGCTCTAGACTCTTCCAGTCCTTTGGGATCTCCGTGAGCAGAGGGGAGCCTGGGGTCAGAGGTGAGGGGACTGGATCCGGTACCTGTGCCGGGGGCTGACGTGAGGCCGCAGCCGCACCCTGCAGACGCCATCGGTGCAGTCCTTCCCCACGAGGCTGTGTGGGTGTACCCGGTGTGGCCAGTCCTTCCACACAAGGCAGGCCGTCACCTCCACCTCCCGCAGCCCGCCACACTCTCGGAGCTGTAGGAAGACAGGGCTTATTGGGCGTTTGCTGGACCCCTGTCCCCATCCAAGGTCCCCAGGGCTCCCCACTTCTTCTCCCTAGACAAACCAGGGGAAAGCCCTGCTAGAGATCACTCTCCTGCTGGGTGACACCTTTAATCCCAGCACTCGGGAGGCAGAGGCAGGCGAATCTCTGTGAGTTCAAGGCCAGCCTGGTCTACAGATCGAGTTCCAGGACAGCCTCCAAAACAATACAGAGAAACTCTGTCTTGAAAACCAAAAACAACAACAACAAAAATGAAGGCTGGGACTGTGGCTGAGGGATCAGCACCTGCCTACTGAGGGGCTAGGGGCGTGGCTTAGTGGTAGAGCCCCGGCCTAGAATTCCCCAGTGAAGGGCTGGGGGCGTGGCTCAGCACTAAAGCACCTGCCTAACAAGTATAAAACCTATGTTCAATCTCCATTACTAAAAGAAATCCAACAGAAAAACTGATTTCTTACAGAACTTTCCACTTTGCTCTGGATCTGCGCCCAGCTGGCCTCAGTCTCTGAGAGCAGCCCTGAGTTGCAAAGGCTTAGTCTGTGATACACAGACTAAGATTTGGGTGAGCGCTGCCCTCTATCGGAGCAATGGGATGCTGAATCGGGTAACTTTGGACAGCGCGTCTTTGGGACCACAGATGCCAGTTTGTCATTGGAATAGCCTCACACAACCGCCCCATGTCCTATAACTCGCCGCTGCTGTTGTTTTATATAGTCCAGGCTGTCCTGGTTATCCTGCTCAAATTTCCCCAAGTGCGGGGCTTTTGAGTGTGAGCTACCACCCCCGGCTCTTTTGAGGCGGGGAAGCGCCGTGACCCCACTCCCAGGCACAGCAGCTCTACGGCACGCACCTCGATGGCGGGCAGCGTCTTGCTGGCTTCGGTGCTGCTCTCGCCGAGGATGCTGCCGGCAGAGCGGCCTTCACACTCATAGCGGAAGCGCATCCCGCGCTGCTTCGGCTGCTCTGTGATGACCAGGTGCGGCCTGGGCCCCGGGCCCGGTGACACCAGCCGGCCCACGGTGCAGCTCCAGGGCGACGGCGTGACCGGAGGCGGCGGTGCAGCTGGACCCAAGGTGACGCTGCTCAGTGAGGCCTGCCCGCGGGGCACCAAGCGCGGCATCTCGCCCAGCTGTGCCCCGTCCAGGCCGAAGCCCTTCTCCTTAATGTATTCGTCGATGATTTCTGCAGGACAGACAGGGTTAAGGACGGGGCTGGGCTCCCTTCCTTTCTCCTCTCTTTAGGCCTTAGTCTAGGTTGCTGTTTTCAGACAGGGTCTCATTGTCTAGCTGTGGCTGCCCGGAACTTTCCATATAGGTCCGGAGGGTCGGGTCTGGAACACACAGAGTCCCGCCTTCCTCTGCTGGGATCTGCAGCACACCTGAACTTCAACCTTGCTTGGTTTGGTATTTTGAGACAGGGTCTCTCTACACGGCCCTGGCTGATCTGGAACTATGAAGATCAGGCCTCCCAGAGTGCTGGGATTAAATCCACACATCACCATACTGGCTTTTATTTTCTTAAAGGTTTTTTTCCCCTTTGTGTGTGTGTGTGTGTGTGTGTGTGTGTGTGTGTGTGTGTGTGTGTGCGCGCGCGCGTATGTACACTGCCTGCATATATGTCTGTGCACCACTAGGTAAGTCAAGTGTCCTCAGAAGCCAGAGAGGGCATCAGGGTCCTTAGAACTAGAGTTATAAAGGTTGTGAGCTGCCATGTGGATGCTGGGAATTGAACTCATGACCTCTGAAAGAATGGCCAATGCTCTTAACCTCTAAGCTATCTCTCTAGCCCCATTCAGTGCTCTTTTTTATTTAATTTGTTTATTTTGGGGGTGGTTTGAGACAGGGTTTCTCTGTGACTTTGGAGGCTGTCCTGGAACTCGCTCTGTAGACCAGCCTGGCCTCGAACTCACAGAGATCCGCCTGTCTCTGCCTCCAGAGTGCTGGGACTAAAGGCGAGCGCCTGGCCCATCCAGTGCTCTTAACTGCTAAGCCAGCTCCCCAGCCCTCTAAAGATCTTTAAGATTGTGTGTATGTGTGTCTATAGAGGGGTGTCTGCCAATGAGTGTCAGCTGCAGAGGCCTGACGAGGGCTTTCGATGTCCTGGAGCTGGGGTTACAGCTGGTAGTAAGTCCCTCAGCGTGACTTAGAAACTGAACTTGGGTTCTCTATGAGAACGAGCACTCCTAACCACTGAGTCTGCTCCCCAGCCCCTCCCCTTGGGCTTTGGGACAGGGTCTCACTGTGTGGCCAGGGCTGCTCTGCCTCTGGGTTACAGGCAAGGCCACCAAAGGACTCCACACACTTCTACCTCTGCGCCTCTACGTCAAAACCTTGTTTACTTTCCCTACAGTCTCCCTCTCCCAGTGTCCCCAGCTCCATCCACCGTCTCCCACAGGCACGAGGCAGTTGCCATCTCTCCTGGCTTTTGTCCCTAGTATATGCCTGTCTCACACAGCCTGCGGGATTTTGTTAGTACCAACCTGTCTGTCTTTTGCCTAGAAGCCCCCTATGGCTCCAAATTTCCTGGTAGTAAACGCTAACAATGTCCCCAACATAAAACTTGCCTCGAATATGGATATACTTCATCAGAAGAGTCTGCCTTTCAATCCCCCCAGTGACTGGCTGGGAACATGGCTCAGTGGTAGAGCCCCTGCCTAGAATCCCCCAGTGAGGGGCAGGGGGCGTAGCTCAGTGGTAGGACTTTGTCTAGCATTGGGGAGGCTCTAGGTTCAACCCTTACTGTTCAGTGATAACGACAACAAGCTGCACCCTTCTGTGTTTTGCACCCACCTAGCTTGGTCACCTCCAGGGCCATGAACTTGTTTCCTCCCCTGTCCTGGTTTCCAGGTCTCCCCCACTCATCCTGTACAGCACCTCAAGCAGCTAGCTTCAATGAAAGCCACGCCTCTTTGCCTTCCTCCCTCTCTCTTCTCCGTAGCATTCATTCTCTCTCCCCTTTCCCTGAGACAGAGTCTCAGTTTGTAGCCCAGGCTAGCCTAAAACTCAGTGTGTAGCTTAGACTGGCCTCAGATGCTCTGCCTTGTGAGTGCTGAGACTCCGGGTAGAAGCAGGACTGCCCGCCTGCACTCTGCCCCTCTTCCTTTGCAGACCTCACCCTCTCCTGTCCTCTGACCTCCCAGCCCTCACCGCTACCTCCTGCAGGGCAGTGACTTCATTTTGTTCAATGCTGGATTCCCAGGGCCTGGCACTGGGCCTGGTCCAAGAAAGGTCAATGACATCCATGAGTGAGCACTGGTTACAGAGAAAAAAAAACCACGCAGGCACTCAGTGCTCCGGATCTTGGGAGTGTGACCTTGCTCAAGCGTCCTGGAATCATACCAGGACCTGCTCCCATCACAGAGCAGGCCTCTCCCAGCTCTCCCGAGCCCCTCAGCCCCGCCCCCGTCCTGATACTCACCCAATTCATCTGTGGAAGGAAGAGAAAAGAGAGGTGAGGTTCAGGTACTGTCAGGCTTGACTTCTAATACAGACTCCCCACCCTGTCCCCCAGGAAGACTTGCTGGGGCTCCCATCCCCCATCTCCACTGCCCCTCCAGGGTCCCAGCATCAAGGTATCCCTGGAGAAACTCAAAAGCCACTCCCCAAAGCACTGAGACTTGTTATCAGGACTGGGGAGATCCTGGGGGGGGACGGACATGGGCAGTCCTAGGTAAACTATGAACAGGCTCCATCCTGAAAGTCCACCCTGGACCCCAGAGACCACTGCCATCGTCTGAGCAAGAAGCTGACCAAATCCAGGGTGCTTCCCTGCCTGTACCATAGCCCAGCTCCCCAAATCTTGGGCTCACCCCTCCTTCCCAGAGGGCATGGGGAGGAGAGGGTTAACAGCCATACCAGGTACCCAGTGAAGAAGTCCCCTTGCTTCCCCAGTGAAACTCAGCAAGGAAGAAATCAAAACCAGCTCCCCATCATTTCCTAGGCAGGACTGGGGAAGGCCAGAGGAAGCAGACCAGCCCAGAAGTCACACAGCAGGAGGGTCACCTAACTGACTGTCCCGCCTAGAGTGGTGGTGAAGGCTTGATCACGTTTATGCCAGTATCAGCCAGGCCCTTCCCCCTCCTCCTCCTCTCTCATTCTCCTCCCTCCTCCCCTTCCTTTGTCCACACTCAGGGAGTGGCTCCAGGCAGCCAGAACTTTGCCCCTTAGAAGGTGGTTTTCATGTGTCCCTTATCTCATTTGATCTGTGAGATCCGCAGATGCCAAGGTCCCTCCCTTCCAGAGAGGTGAAGTATACAGACACTGGGAGAGCAGAGGGAACGTGAGAGAGAGCACCAACTCAAAGCAATCTTTTTAGGCCAGGTGGTGGTGCATGCATGCCTTTAATCCCAGCACTCGGGAGGCAGAGATAGGTGGATCTCTGTGAGTTCGAGACCAGCCTGGTCTACAAGAGCGAGTTCTACTGCCTCCAAAGCCACAGAGAAACCCTGTCTCGAAAAACCAAAAGAAAACAAAACTGTCTTAGATATCTCTGCTGGATGAACCTAGAGATCCAAAGACAAATTTGAGCTGCCAGGTATTATGGTCTGTGACTCAGAGCCTGAGGCAGGAAGACCCACACTAATTTGAAGCCTGCCTGGGCTACATAATGAGTTCCAGGCCAGCCTACACTACAGAGTGAGAACTTGTGTCAACCAAACCAATTACAAACTCAAGAAATTCTACCCGGGGCTCCTCAACAGACTCCAGGGAACGAGGCATAGAGGCATAACGCTGTCCTTGCAACACTCAGGATGCTGAGGCAGGAGGATTGCAGTCTTCCAGGCTAGCCTGGGCAACTTAGAAAGATACTTATCTCTATCAGTCAAACAAACAAAATCACTTTTAGGCTGGGCATGGGGACGGGGCTCAAAATCTCGGAGCTTACCCGGCACATAGGAGACTCTCTTACTACAGGACACTATCAGCTGTGACTGCTGAGGAGTGGGGACCGTGCCTGCCACGTGGCCACCACCCAGAGCTATGTGTGTGACTGGAGAGTGGAGGAATCTGCCCTTCCACTTGCCCCAATCATCACCTCGTGGGGATGTCTTCTGTGTATACTCGTTTCTCTTACTGGCTGATGAATAAAGCACTGATTGGCTGATTGACCAGACAGGAAGTATAGGCAGGGCTAGGAGACAAGGAGAATTCTGGGAAACACAGGCAGATGGAGTCATCACGAGTCCCGGAAGACAGGACATGAAAGGCGTTCTCTGTTAAGCCAAGACCACGTGAGAATACTCAGATTAATAGAAATGGGTTAATAATGAAGACAGAGCTAGCCAATAAGCCCTAACCACCGGCCAACAGTGTCTCTGTGTGTTTATTTTGGGATTCAAGGGCAACGGGACTTGCCAGGCCAAGCTCAGGTGACAATCACCTTGTCCCCACCCTACTGTCGAATATCACCGACCCCACAATCTCTCCATAGCCCTCACTGCCTTCTATAATCCCACCTTGAGTTGCTTATAGATCTTCCTCCTCATCTGGGGAGGCAGCCCTGAAGGACAGGGCTGGGACTATGGCCAACCCTGGTTTTCACACAGAACAGTCCCTGAACGCCTCCCACTGGAAACCTCAGAGCTGTGTCTCAGCTTGCTCCTGGTCAGAACCAGCATCTGGGTCCCTCCTGTCTCCAAGGCCATCCGTCACCTTTCTATACCTCCCCACGGTCACTCCAGGGCCTCCGGCATCCACCCTGAAAGAGGTCCAGGCCTGGCTGACCACCGAGTGTCACACTCGAGATCCAGCTCTGTCGTCCAAATCTCAGAAAAGAAATCATGTCTCTGACTTTTGTGTCTGTTTTATTAGTCTGAGGTACGGTCTTACTATGTAAACAGGCTGACTCTACACTTGAGGTCTTCCTGCCTCAGCCTCCCAAGGATGGAGACTCCAGGCAATTCAACATCATGCCTGTCTCAAGGGACCTCTTAGAAAAGTCATCTGTTCCAGGACGGGTTCCAAAACTACAGAGAAACCCGTCTCAGAGAACAAACAAACAAACAAAAAAACAAAACAAAAAGGATGTCATCTACGAGAAAAGCCTCTCCTGGGAAGCTGTTAAAACTGAAACTCCCAGAACTCTCAGTTCCAAAGCTAGACTCAGAAGTTCTAACACATTCTAATGATGTTTGTGCTTTCTATGCATTTATTTTGCCGTATTCAGGATATTCAGGGTGTGTGGTGCGTTGGATGAAAACGACTCCCATATGGGGAGTGACACGTTGAGAAGGTGTGGCCTTGTTGGAGTAGGTGTGGCCTTAGAGGAAGTATGTCACGGGGGTGGACTCTAAGGTTTCAGATGCTCAAGCCAGGCCCAGTGTGGCTCTCTTCCTGCTGCCTGTCAATCTGGATGTAGAGCTCTCAACCGCTTCTCCAGAACCTTGCCTGCCTGCTGGCCACCACGCTCTCCACCATGAGGACAAAGGACAAGACCTCGGAATTGTGAGCCAGCCCCGGCTGAATCGTTTTCTTTGTAAGAATTGCCAGGGTCATGGTGTCTCTTCATAGCAGTAGAAACCTTAAGACAGGGTGGAGCCCTGGACTTCGTGCATGCTAACCAAATGATGCTACACACATCATCAGCCCTTGAGGCTTTGTTTGTTTGTTTAGTTCACTTTGACAACATAAGTTTCTTTTTTTTTTTTTTTTTTGGTTTTTCGAGACAGGGTTTCTCTGTGGCTTTGGAGGCTGTCCTGGAACTCGATTGGTAGTCCAGGCTGGTCTCGAACTTACAGAGATCCACTTGCCTCTGCCTCCCGAGTGCTGGGATTAAAGGAGTGCGCCACCAACGCCCGGCTTGAGAACATAAGTTTCTTATGTTGCCCAGTATGGTGGTTTAGATAAGAATGATTCCTATAGGTTCATATATTTAGACACGAGATCCCCAACTGATGGACCAATATGAGAAGCTAATACATGTGACCTTCTGTCTGTCGTAACCGCCCGCACGGGCCTCTCTCTGCCTCCCGCTTGAGGATAAGAATGTGAGCTCTCAGCTACCGTTCCAAGCTATGTCTACCTGCCTGTTGCCATTCTCACTGTCGTGATGGTCATGGATTCACCCTCTGAAACTGTAAGCCCCAATAATCCTTTTCTGCTGAAAGATTCCTTGGTCATGGTGTTTTGTCACAGCGATAGACAACTCAGGCTGGCCTTGAACTTGATATGTAGCTGAGGATGACCTTGAACCCCTGACCCTCCTGCCCTCACCTCCCGTGTACTATAATTACAAGTGTAAGCCAACAGGCCCCATTTTATACAGTGTTGGAGATCAAGCCCAGGGCACTGTGCACGCCAGGCAAGCTCTCTCCCAACTCTTCATCTGGTCCATTGGTTTTGTTTGTCTGTCTTTGTTTTGGGGGGGGCTGGGTTTTTTGTTTTGTTTTGTTTATTTGAGACTGGGCATCTCTGTGTTACAGTCCTGGCTATCCTAGAACTCGTGTTGTAGACCAGGCTGGCCTCAAACTCACAGAGATCTGCCTGCCTCTGCCTCCTGAGTGCTGGGACTAAAGGCGTGCCGATAACCCAGGCTGGCCTTCAACTCACTACATAGTCCATTAAGGACTCAAATTGTGTCCATGCTCCCGCTGGGATTACAGGCATGTACTGGCACTCCTGTCAATAGTCCTCCTTTGTTTTTTAACAAGGCTCCTAGGTAGTTTGAATGCACACGGTCTGAGAACTTACGACGACTAACACCAGTTATCATCATGCTCTTACTATCGTAACTGTGCCACTACCAGTTACAACTCACTGGAATGCTTCCTATGGGCTGGTAAGCGTCAACTCAGCCAGCTTTCTCCATCCCCACAAGAGAACGAACGGGATTGACAGTCATACAGATGAGGAGGGTTTAGGGAAGTCACTGCGCATTCATTCACCCGCGGGGGGGGGGGGGTAACATCCTACGTGAACTTCAGTTCCAAGGTCCTAGATCCCCGATGGAGGGGAACTCTAAGAGTCTCTGCTTAGGAGCCCGGCAGAGGGAATATGGGCACGGAGGGGTCACTGAGAGCAGCCCGGAGGGACAGTTGACAAAGCGGGCGCCTCGTCCCCTGTCCACGGGGCTCCTCCGTTTCCCAGGAGCAGCTGGGCAGGGGCTGCGGAGGGGAGCTCACCTGGGGGCCTGGGGGCCGTCAGTGACAGCGAAGAAAGGTCACTGGAACCTGGGGGAGGGAGACTGGATCAGCAGGCGATGCAGCCAGAGGATCACCGACTGCCCCGCCGGGTCCTCACCTCCGCTCGCCCCTTTGAACTGAGCCCCTCCCCGTTACCGAGCTCCGGTGAGACCCGGCTTCTGGTGACTCTTGACAAAGTTCTGGCTTTTCCTTCCTGCCACTGACCATGCCCATCCCCACTCAACAGCTGCGGCTTTCCCGGCTAGGAGGAATACCTCAGGGAAACCCCATCTCCTTTCTGCCCTCCGGGCAATAACAGGAGCCCTAATACTTTGTCACTGGAGACCCCGCCCCGCCCCTCTCGCTGCACGCCCCGCCCCCTTTCGATCCCCGCGTCAGGCCCCGCCCTGCATCTTCAGAATAGGCTCTTTCCCGTCTCTGAGCCGGCCAGGCCCCGCCCCTTCTCTCGGGGTGGGCCCCGCCCACTCATGGAGGCACACACCTCTTCGCGCTCTCAGCGCCTGACCCCGCCCTTATTTCCTGCCAAGCTCCACCCTGATCCCGCCCCCTCGAAATCAGGCTCCGCCCTCCCCTAGTTTGCCGCTGGGCCCCGCCTCCTTCCTAGGGCTCGCCTGGTCCCCTTAACCGGAGCACTTCCTTGAATCAGGCTCCGCCCACTACTCCTTAGGTGGACGGAACCTACTCGGGAAGCCGGGAGCCTCCGCTCTGACCTCTCAGAGCCTGCCCCGCCCCTCAGGCTCGCTAGGCCCCGCCCCTCAGAGCCAGGCCCCGCCCGCCCCTGGTCTGGCCGGCGGCGGGGTCCCGCCCCCTTCTTTGCCTCAGGCTCAGGCCCCGCCCCCTGCTCACTCCGTAGCGGGACGTCTAGGCTGTACCTCGGGCAGGAGCCTTCACCGTCCTCCGCCTCCTGCCTCGTCTCTCACGCACTGCCCCGCCACCCTCGCACGCTCCGCGCCGGAGCCCGAGTCCTGCGGGAGCCCGCAGACGGCTCCGAGCGTCCCGAACACCCTCAGCCCGAGCCCCGCCCCAGACGTTCCACTCCGCTTACCCAAGGCCCCCAGCTCAGGCGCGGACGCTCTGGTAGCGCGGCGACTCGGCATGGCCCGGCCCGCAGGGACCGACAGCCCTAAGGCCGGCTCAGGGCGACGCGCGCACGAGGGCAAGCCGGGCAGCCGGACGCGGGGCCCGGGGTGCTGGGGCGATCGCGGCCCGGGAGAGCGGCGCAAGGCTGGGGCCGAAGGCCGG